TGCCTTGATCCACAGATCATCTTGTAACGCTTCTTTTACATTCTTTGGTTCTATTTTTGAGGTATAGCAGGCTGATCCGGATATTTCAATCAGATTGTTTCTCATTCGGCTTCTGGTATTTATCCCATCCGTTGGATCGCCAATAATGTTGTCGGAAAGGTGATTTTTCTGAGTTCTGGTGGGCTTGTTCTTCCCCACATTATTGACAATAGACGTCTCTTGTCCTGAACCGTGTTGATCTTCATCATCTGAATCTTGAGTTTTAGATTTGGTGTCCTCTGCTGTGTCTAACTCACTCAGAGGAGATTCTGTCTCTGGTTCAGTCACTGATGCTTCTGCAGATTCGTCAGGGTAGTCATCTATAACAACATTTACTGATTCCATTATAGATTGAGTTCTCTTGTTATAGACTCGATAGGCTCGACTGTTTGGAGAGTACCCCAGGAAGATGCCCTCATCACTCTTAGGTTCAAACTTCCCCCTTTGTTCCATATCGATCAGCACGTAACACTTTGTCCCAGACACATGAAAATACTTCAAGTTCGACTTCTTCTCCTTCCAGATCTCATATGGCGTTTTGGACTTACCTGGTCTCAGATAAACTCTATTCACTGTATGACATGCAGTGTGAACTGCCTCAGCCCAGAAACGTTGTGGTAGATGGGATGCATGTAACATAACTCTAGCCATTTCCTGCAAGGTTCGATTCTTTCTTTCCACCACACCATTCTGTTGAGCTGTTCTGGGGGCTGAGAATTCATGGGCTATACCATTCTCAGAGCATAAATCTGAATATAAAGAGTTTTCAAACTCTTTACCATGATCACTTCTTAGTCTCTTAATTTTTATTATAGGCTCATTCTTTTCTCTTTGAACCCTTATGCACAAGGTTCTAAAGGCATTGAAGGCTTCAGATTTTTCTCTTAGGAAATATACCTAGCTGAACCGAGAGAAGTCATCTACACACACAAATATGTATTTCTTTCCACCAATGCTTTCAGTCTGTGTTGGTCCCATAAGGTCTATATAAACCAGTTCTAGACATCTCTCTATAGTAATAACTTTTACTACTTTGTGAGGAGTTCTTATTTGTTTCCCTAGGGCACATGCACCAGAAACCCCTTCTTGTTCTATTTTGATCTTAGGCATCCCTCTCACAGCATCCAATTTGATCATTTTGTCCATGTCTCTGTAGTTTATGTGACCCAATCGTCTATGCCAGAGTTTTGATTCATCTGATTTTGATAGGTGACACGTATTTTCATTAGTCAGCACATAGCAGTTGTCAGAAGAACGTGTTCCTTCCATTACCAGTTGATCTGCTTTATTCCTGACTCTGCAACAGTTACGATTGAAGCACACATTCCAGGTTTGATCGCACAACTGACTGATGCTAATAAGATTCGCCTTCAGACCACTGACTAATACAACTTCTTCTAGATGAGGTAAGCCTGGAACATTTAGAGTACCTTTGCCAACTATTTTCCCTTTTTGTCCGTCTCCATATGTAACTGATCCACTGCTCGGTTGAACAGCCATAAGACACTTGACATTGCCTGTCATATGTCTGGAACACCCACTGTCGAAATATCATCTTGCTTCAGTTGTAGATGCAGCCAGAACTATAGTGGGATAACATATTACTTCTGACTTCCTGACCCAGACTTGTCTTGTGAAAGGTGTAATAGTTTTGTTCTGATATTTTTCCTTCCTTTGGTCTCTGTAAAAGAAGTAACACTCAGGTCGAGTGTGACCTTTTGATATGCAGTAGTGACAAATGGGTATATATTGTCTGATTTTAGCAAATTTAGCTTTGAACTTTGAGTACTGAGATTGAGACGCCACTCTGCCAAAGTCAGTTTCTGCATGTGTCTTCCCTTTTTCCTTTATATGGACATACTTGGATGACTGTCCTGTTTCATACCTGCGAGCTGATGTGTCAGTTGATGTAGCTTCTTTGACGAACACAGGAATATTTTTCGAAGATTCTCCTCGGTTATAACCTAGACCCTTTTTGTCATTTGGATTTCGTACAGAGTCCAGAATTTTGTCTAGAGTTGATGTAGTGTCCATCATCTTTATGTTCTTCTTCAGATCCTCCAACTCTTTTATCAGTTTTCCTTCTCGAGATCTTATCTGAGTTATAAGATCTTCTTTTGTAACAAGTTCTGTGTTCAGTTTCTTCAGAATATCATCTCGTTGTTTTAGCTCATCATTCAGATTTTTATTAACTTTCACCAGTTGCTCCCAGCTTGCAACAAGTTTAGCAAATTCCATCTCTAGTTGGGTTTGCCTCTCTTCAAAGTCATCTGTCGAAATATAAGACTCTTCATCAGATTCATTTCCCACGTTTTCATCTGACTAACCATTAGATGCTTCTTCCTCATCATCACTTAGAGTAGCCACAGACATCACCTTCTTCCTTTTGAGATACGTTGCACATTCAGCCTGTATGTGTCCAAATCCTTCACACGCTCGACACTGTACTAACCGGTTGAGGGACCTGCCTGTGTCAGTCGAACTGCTTCGGGGTTGTCTTGGTCGACCAGTTTGAGCCTGATTGTTCTGTGTGAAAGAGGGTGTGCCTGTTTTCTGATATGAGGAATTACTGCCTTTATATTGAGTCTTGTTAGATTGTCCTTGACTCCTTCTATTAAATCCTTTCAAGATCTTCTTAAAGTTCTTGGTCAGAAGAGCCAAGGCTTCATCATCTATATCATCAGTGTCTGACTCCAGATCAGTATCAGCAACAAAAGCCACTGATTTGCCTTTTCTGTTGGCAGCAAGGTCATCATTAGCCAGCACTTCAAGTTCATATGTGTGTAAGCTTCCCATAAGCTCACCAACACTCTTCTTTTCCCAGCATGTGTGTTCCTGAATTGCGGTTACTTTCATTCGGAATCGCTTTGGCAAAGATCGAAGGATCTTTTGACTACTCTTTCATCAGTGAATGGTTCGCCGAGTATTGAGGCTCTGTTCATTAGATTCTGAACACGACTGTGAAAGACTGAGATTGTTTCCTCTTCGTTCATTCTAAGTGCTTCAAACTCAGACAGAACCATTTGAAGCTTTGATTGCTTCACATCACTTGTACCCTCATACCTAGTTTCAAGAATTTCCCATACTCGTTTTGCTTCCTTTACTCCAGTGAATAAGGTAAACACCGATTCATGAAACGATCCTACAATAGAGTTCAGTGCTTTGTTGTTCAGGTCAGAGGCCGCCATCTCATTTTCTGTCCACGTCTCCATAGGTTTTGCCGTAGTGGTTCCATCAGGGTTCTAAATAGTTGGATGGCTCCACCCAGAAAGAACAGTACGATAAACCCTGGTACCTTGTGCCTAGAGATAGATCTCCATACGAGCCTTCCTTAATGAATAGTTGTGACCATCCAATTCTGGTGGTTTCATACTTGCATCCATCCTGAATAAAAACAACCAGCCAAAATCACACAAGCAGGCAGACTGCCAACCGACAACCAGAGATATTTCCAAAACAAAGAGAGCAATGCAAAAACAACTTCCCGTACGGATCAAGTCACTATGTAGACCATTAAAAGCTCTGATACCACATGAAATTTTGCAATCTCTCAGATTAATGATATTAATTAAAAGACTGACGGATTAGTCTGACGGATTCAGCGAGGATATTAGTTAGATAGCTGAAACACTAATTAACTTGCGGAAAGATAAAACTGAGGAAGACAGTGAAAGGAACAATACACAAGATGTTTACCCAGTTCGATACAGTGTGTGTCTACAACTGGGGGACGATCACATCGGCGTCCAATCCACAAACAGTTCATCAAATGTACAAAGGTAGAGAATAGTAATCTCACCCAAGTGCCGCACACAAGGTAAGTACCCAGTTTACACTGACTTAGTGGATTGTTGAAGGTGGAGAGCCGTGCATACAGAAGTCCAATGAAATCCCTTCACTTGGAGAGCTAACTCTGATGCAGTCCACTTCAATGACGCAGTCCGACGTTGTTCCCACAACTGTGTGATCTTAGTGTCCTTTTCGTTTAAGCAACGATATTTATTCTCAAGTACTTCATCATAATAAACAAGAAAAATTGTCTTGAGAAGAGTCATGAAAATCAGAGATGTAATCTCTAAGTATATGTCTGAGTGTTTCTTTCATCTCAAAAGCGTAACCCTAATTCTCGATCGAATAAGAGTACTTATAGTTCCAATATAAGAACACTCTCCATACATATCTCTGATTGTAGATGGTAGGACGATATAAGAAGAATGTAATCTTAAAGATCCGGTCCATACCTTTCCAAAGCAGATACACTGATCTTCTCCCAAAACAGACTTTTTAAACCGAGTTCTGCAATGACGAAACATCTTCGTAAAATAGATCTTCAGTGTCAGTCCTTTTGTTGTTGAATCTGATCAATCAGTCTTCTGTAGAACAAACAGACCCAAGCTAACCCTATCTTAGTTTGCCATAATAATATTGCCAATTATATGTTGGGGTTTTTGAGCAATTAAAACACTAACAGATCTAATCACTATATAATTATTGTTCAACATTTGTCAACTGTATAATTATTACTTTGCTTTTACTTTTATCCAAAATCAAGTGAATTTACTTTTTATTGAATGAGATTACTATAATCTACAATATCCGTTATGATAAATTGGCTCGGTAACATTTAGAAATCAAAATCAATTATTCTTACTCAATTGAAGCGAGAAGAAGGAATTCTGATCTAAAATCAATTATACTAACTCAATTGAAGCGAGAATTATCGCGTGAATTTGTTTTTTTATTGAGTAAAATTGCTCTCATTAGAATATACGTTACCAGAAATAGGTTCGATATCATTTAGAAATTCAGATAAATTATTCTTGGGAAATTTAATTTTTAAGAGTGGGTGTTTCGAATTTTGAGTTTAATTTTTTTCAGTTTCAATTTTTTCATCTTAAGATGTGTTGTTTGCCTTCTTAAGGTGCGTCAATTGTAGAAACTTAAGGTACGTCTGTCTAAAGTTTTAGGTGTGTGGTTTTACTACATAAGGTGTGTGTGAATGATTTTAGTGCATTTTTGTTGAAACGTAAGGCGAGTAATTTTAAAATATTACGTGCATGGTTTGTGTTCTTATGGTGCTTTGTTTGTGTGCTCAAGGTGCGTGGTTTGTGCATTTATTTTGTTGGCATGTCGATCTTGTTTCGATCTCAATTACGTAATTTTAATTTAATTTGCAGTATATACCGATTGAAGTGATTAGGGATCACAATATTGAATTGCCTGCAAATGTGATCATGTGTGATAAGAAAGGTAAAAAAGGGAACACATATATAAAGACATGGAATGATGGGCAAACATGGTTGTATGGAGGATGGCGAAGGTTATGTAAATGGAACCTTGTTCAACAAAATGACATGTGCATCTGTGAGTTTATGCCTTCTTCATTGGGGCAAGAATTCGTCTTGCAGGTCACCATTATTCGAAGAAAGGACTTGGAAGCCCTACCAATTTAATGTTAAATCTTAATGTTTTGAAGACATTTATAACACAAAAGAGGTAGTTTTTAAAAGAATAATAATCTTGCTGAGTATCGGTTTCAACATCAAGATGACCAAGACATAATCCTTTCATTCAACTAAACACTTCCCGAATACTGAGGGCCTCCACTTCCTTTGGCGTGTAGATACCCTCCCACTGCATTCCCTTTTCCATATTACTATTATTATTATTATTATTATTATTATTATTATTATTATTATTATTATTATTATTATTATTATTATTATTATTATTATTATTATTATTATTATTACTATTATTATTATTATTATTATTATTCCTTAATTAATAAATTATTAATTGTTTAGGTCGAAGAGTTTGGGCGGGAAAACACAAAGGAGCATTTTATTTTTAATAATAGTATACATAAGTTCTAGACAAGAATCACGTTAATTTGTTTTTTATTGAGTAAAAAATTGCTATCATTAGAATATACGTTATCATAAATAGGTTCGATATCATTTAGAAATTCTGATAAATTATTCTAAGGAAATTTAAATTTTTGGAGTGGGTGTTTCTATTTTCAGTTCAATTTTTTTCGATTTCAATTTTTACTTCGTAAGATGTGTTGTTTGACTTCTTAAGGTGCATGGTTTGTATGCTTAAGGTGCGTCAATTGTTGAAACTTAAGGTGCGTCTGTCCAAAGCTTTAGGTGTGTAGTTTTACTTCATAAGGTGTGTGAGTTGTATGAAACTTAAGGTGAGTCATTTTAATATTTTAGGTTCATGATTTGTGTTCTTATGGTGTTTTGTTTGTGTGCTTAAGGTGCGTGATTTATGCATTTAAGGTGCACCATTTTAATATTTAATGTTAGGTGCGTCCTTTTGTGTTATCTTCGCCCATGATCTTCCGCATGGGAAGTTATCTTCGCCCGTGATCTAATCCCTATATAATTATTATTCAACATTTGTCAACTGTATAATTATAACTTTGCTTTTGCTTTTGTCCAGAATCACATGAATTTACTTTTTATGGAATGAGATTATTATAATCTACTGTATCCATTATGATAAATAGGATCAATATCATATAGAAATCCAAATAAATTAATCTTAATCAATTGAAGCGAGAAGATGGATTCTGATCTATAATCAATTATTCTTACTCAATTGAAGCGAGAAAATCACGTGAATTTGTCTTTTTATTGAGTAAAATTGCTATCATTAGAACATACGTTACCATAAATAGGTTCGATATCATTTAGAAATTCAAATAAATTATTATTGGGAAATTGAAATTTTAAGAGTGGCTGTTTTCTATTTTTAGTTCAATTTTTTTCGATTACGATTTTTAATTCTTAAGATGTGTTGTTTACCTTCTTATGGTGCGTGGTTTGTGTCCTTAACGTGCATCAGTTGTTGAAACTTAAGGTGCGTCTTTCTAAAGCTCTAGGTGTGTGGATTTACTTCTTATGGTGTGTGATTTGTATGATTAAAGTGCGTCATTTGTTGATACTTAAAGGTGAGTCATTTTAAAATTTTAGGCGAATGGTTTGTGTTCTTATGGTGCTTTGTTTATGTGCTTAAGGTGCGTGGTTTGTGCACTTTTGTTGCGCAATTTTAATTCTTAATGTTAGGTGCGTCCTTTTGTGTTAACTGCACTTCCCCATGGGAAGTTATCTTCGCATATGATATTATCACTATATAATTATTGTTCTACATTTTTCAACTGTATAATTATTACTTAGCTTTTACTTTTATCCGGAATCAAGTGAATTTACTTTTTATTGAATGAGATTACTGTAATCTACAGTATCCGTTACGATAAATAGGCACAGTATCATTTAGAAATCCAAATCAATTATTCTTACTCAATTGAAGCGAGAAGAAGGATTTCTGATCTATAATCAATTATTCTTACTCAGTGGAAGCGAGAAGAATCACGTGAATTTGTTTTTTATTGAGTGAAATTTCTATCATTAGAATACACGTTACCAAAAATAGGTTCGATATCATTTAGAAATTCAGATAAATTATTCTTGGGAAATTTAAATTTTAGGAGAGGGTGTTTCGAAATTTTGAGTTTTAAATTTTTGTCAGTTTCGATTTTTTCTTCTTAAGATGTGTTGTTTGCCTTCTTAAGGTGTGTCAGTTGTTGAAACTTAGGATGCGTCTGTCTAAAGCTAGTGTGTGGTTTTACTTCATAAGGCGCGTGTGTATTATTTTAGTGTGTCATTTGTTGAAACGTAAGGTGAGTCATTTTAAAATATTAGGTGCATGGTTTGTGTTCTTATGGTGCTTTGTTTGTGTGCTTAAGGTGCGTGGTTTGTGAACTTATTTTGTTGGCATGTCGATCTTGTTTCGATCTCAATTACGTAATTTTAATTTAATTTGCAGTATATACCGATTGAAGTCATTAGGGATCACAATATTGAATTGCCTGCAAATGTGATCATGTGTGATAAGAAAGGTAAAAAATGGAACACATATGTAAAGACATGGAATGATGGGTGAACATAGTTATATGGAGGATGGCGAAGGTTATGTAAATGGAACCTTGTTCAAGAAAATGACAAGTGCATCTGTGAGTTTATACCTTTGTTCAAGAAAATGACAAGCCCTACGAATTTAATGTTAAATCTTAATGTTTTGGAAACATTTATAACACAAAAGAGGTAGTGTTTAAAAGAATAATAATCTTGCTGATTATCGGTTTCAACATCAAGATGATCAAGACATAATCCTTTCATTAAACTCAACACTTCGCGAATACTGAGGGCCTCCGCTTCCTTTGGCATGTAGATACCTTCCCACTACATCCCCTTTTCCATATTATTATTATTATTATTATTATTATTATTATTATTATTATTATTATTATTATTATTATTATTAGTATTATTATTATTATTATTATTATTATTATAATTATTATTATTATTATTATTATTATCATTATTATTATTCCTTAATTAATAAATTATTAATTATTTGGGTCGAAGAGTTTGGGTGGGAAAACACAAAGGAGCATTTTATTTTTAATAATAGTATAGATAAGTTCTAGACAAGAATCACGTTAATTTGTTTTTTATTGAGTAAAAAATTGCTATCATTAGAATATACGTTACCATAAATAGGTTCGGTAACATTTAGAAATTTAGATAAATTATTCTTGGGAAATTTAAATTTTAGGAGTGGGTGATTCGATTTTCAATTCAATTTTTTTTGGAGTTCGATTTTTTACTTCTTAAGATGTGTTGTTTGCCTTCTTAAGGTGCATGGTTTGTGTGATTAAGGTGCGTCAGTTGTTGAAATTTAAGGTGTGTCTGTCTCCAGCTTTAGGTGTGTGGTTTACTTCTTAAGGTGTGTGATTTGTATGATTAATGTGCGTCATTTGTTGAAACTTAAGGTGAGTCATTTTAAAATTTTAGGTGCATGATTTGTTTTCTTATGATGCTTTGTTTGTGTGTTCAAGCTGTATGGTTTGTGCACTTAAGGTGCGCCATTTAAATGCTTAATGTTAGGTGCGCGTCCTTTTGTGTTATCTGCAATTCCGCATGGGAAGTTATCTTCGCACCTGATCTAATCCCTATATAATTACTATTCAGCATTTGTCAACTGTATAATTATTACTTAGCTTTCTCTTTTATCCAGAATCACGTGAATTTCCTTTTTATAGAATGAGATTACTATAATCTACAGTATCCGTTACTATAATCAGGCTCAATATCATTTAGAAATACAAATCAATTATTCTTACTCAGTTGAAGCGAGAAGAAGGAGTTCTGATCTATAATCAATTATTCTTACTCAATTGAAGTGAGAAAATCACGTGAATTTGTTTTTTATTGAATAAAATCACTATTATTAGAATATACGTTACCATAAATAGGTTCGATATCATTTAGAATTTCAGATTAATTATTGTTGCTAAATTTAAATTTTAGGAGTGAATGTTTCGATTTTCAATTCAATTTTTTTTTAATTCGATTTTTACTTCTTAAGATGTGTTGTTTGCCTTCTTACGGTGCGTGATTTGTGTGCTTAAGGTTCATCAATTGTTGAAACTTAAGATGCGTCTGTCTAAAGCTTTAGGTGTGTGGTTTTACTTCTGAAGGTGTGTGATTTGTATGATTAAAGTGCGTCATTTGTTGAAACTTAAGGTGAGTCATTTTAAAATTTTAGGCGCATAGTTTTTGTTCTTATGGTGATTTATTTGTGTGTTTAAGATGCGTGGTTTGTGCACTTATGGTGCGCCATTTTAATTCTTAACGTTAGGTGCGTCCTTTTGTGTTATTTGCACTTCCACTTGGGAAGTTATCTTCGCATATGATCTAATCACTATATAATTATTGTTCAACATTTGTCAACTGCATAATTATTACGTTGCTTTTACTTTTATCCAGAATCAAGTGAATTTACATTTTATTGAATGAGATTACTATAATCTACAATATCCGTTTCGATAAATAGGCTCAGTAACATTTAGAAATCAAAATCAATTATTTTTACTCAATTGAAGCGAGAAGAAGGAATTCTGATCTATAATCAATTATTTTTACTTAATTGAAGCGAGAAGAATCACGTGAATTTGTTTTTTATTGAGTAAAATTCCTATGAATAGAACATACGTTACCAGAAATAGGTTTGATATCATTTAGAAATTCAGATAAATTATTCTTGGAAAATTTAAATTTTAGGAGTGGGTGTTTCGAAATTTTGAGTTTAATTTTTTTTTCAGTTTCGATTTTTTCTTCTTAAGTTGTGTTGTTTGCCTTCTTAAGGTCCGTCAGTTTTTTAAACTTACGGTGCGTCT